ATTCAGGTTTTGAATTTCCTTTTTTTTGTAGGTGGTACTAGGTTTTATGTTCCGTAGTTATGAAAATATAGCAAAATATTTCAACATTCAAACCAAGGTATGTTACACTGTGAACAGAGGTTATGGTCTTCCACCTGTGCAAAGCTGTGAAGGTAACTTTTTAAATTTACGTCCTTGTTTATCATGATTATATTAATTAGCAATAAGGTAGCAATTGAAATCCATAGCTTCAACTTGAGCCCCCACAATCAGGGTCTCATCTTATTGGCCGGGGGAAAATGTTTCAACATTGCCTTTTTTTCCAATTTCTAATAGTGATTTCACATCCTTAATCATTAAATAATGATCATGAATGTAGTCCAAGCTCCTGTCTCTCTGTTCAATATGTTTGCTTCTATGGGGTGTTGAAAAACATGCAAATCCAAAGAGATTTCAAATAGCCGACTTGCGAATTACGCATCAATAGTCACATACAAAGGAATCAAGACGAGGCGCCGTGCTAAAGACAATAGATTTTTCACAAAAAAGCACGGCGCCTCGTCTTGATTCCTTTGTATGTGACTATTGATGCGTAATTCGCAAGTCGGCTATTGGTTCAACATCCAAAATAATGAATACGAGCAGCATACTAGGCTTAGTGCACATGAGTAATCATTTGTACCTTTYAATTCTCTGCAGGACTTGGAGAACTATCTTTCTTCTATGTATATGCAATATTTTACTTGAGTGGACTTATGATGGCATGTTTCTTCCTTCTTTGCTATTACCTCAGGTATTAATTATGGCTTTCTATTTTTCAGTGTAAAATTAGAAGTAAAATATATCATATGTTTCTGAAGACCCCTGTACATGTAACTAGATTTTTGAAATGAAAACTGTCGATGAAATGTTTTGTTTTTAGTGGCAATATTTTGGGAGGTATTCTTGGAACATTGTGTTATTTCTACAACCACGGTGAGGTAGGATAACATTAAATTTACTTCTTGGCATTAAATTTCAAAATGATGATATTTTATTGTCATTYGCATTGATATGCAACTAGCCCAGACAAAAGTCTTGTCATAAAGTTTCAAACAAACCTTCCGCACAGCATTTTAGTTGATTGTGAGCAGTATTGCTAATGTGTGTATGTATGTCTATCAGGCAACAAGAGTTATGTGGACACCACCTTTAAGAGAAAGCTTCTCATATCCATTATTAGTAGTCCAACTATTAGTCATAACTTATACCATAAGGTAAGTGACATTGTTTACACACTGTATTAGTTGCTAAAGATCAGCATTTTGTTTAGAAAGTAGCCTCGATGCAATGATGAGACTGACAAAACAAAGACCAGCATAGTCCAATACTTAGTACACAGGAAAGCTAATGAATATCATACTGTCTGACTTTGAGCATCCAATAGGTTGGGAACAAAAATCTGCTTGTTACTGTTGTTTGTATTGCTTTTACCACCAGTCTGAGAACATCTATTCTTTGAAACTGAAAGTTCAGGCTGTCAAACTAGATGATCTAAATCTTATGTACGATTCATTCTGCTTTCTTAAAAAYACAATTTGAGTATATAAGTATACGTACAATAGAAAATTAAAGAATTGATATTTTGATGCTTAGGTCAGGAGCTGTAAAATGGAGGCATTCAGCAATGATAGCAGCAGTGACGTTTTTRTTTATGATACCTTGGCAGGTAAATTATGATGACTGTGTACTTTGAAAAGATGAGCTTTTATACAAAAAAATATTTTAGTGATTTAAGYATATTTTATTGATCCTTTGTTTGTTTTTCAGTTTGCACAGTTTGCTCTCCTCACACAGGTAATCGTTTGAGTGACTATGAATTATTGATTTTACATTATTAATATATTTATAATATTCTTTTTTTTTATTCCTTTTTCATATAGACTACAGCATTGTTTGGCATGTACATGTTGCACTTCCTGACGTCCAGTAAACTGTGTTTACTTCTGTATGGACTTGGTGTAAGTTGTGTTATTAGATCTAATTGACTGTTACACGCTGTAACCATATTTATTTTTTTGGTTCAGATTGCTCACATCATGARCTTTATTTGTCAGTTTGGAAACTCATTATTACTGAGGTAACATATTTTTTGTATGCATTGCACACATAATTTTCTGTAAAACTGTAAAATACCCTTAATTAATGCTTTCTTTTTTTGCAGTTCATTCTTTATGTCAGCTCTTGTCTCATCTTTGGTATGTAGTATATAATATTAGTATTTTTTGTGTAAAACTCATTTTTGCATTAGGAACTTTGACTTTTTTTCCCACCAAAAACAAGACGGAGATATAAATGAAATGTGCATCAACCAGAACCAGAAGTCAACAAGAACCAAAAGTTCCATTTAGCATCGCACAAACCATGTGCAGGAGCTCTCTGCATTAATCAGCGCTCCATCTGAAATGTACASAAAATGTGCCCCTCTTTATATTGTAATTGTTGGATTATTACTGAAATGGGTACGTATTATTTCAGATTATTGCCAAACTAGAAGCATATATTGGAAAACTAAAGAATCAAATATTGATTTGGGTGAGTATGAAGATGCTAGGGCAATAATATAGTCCATTCCTGAAATAAGTCATTGTGCATTGTGATCTAGATTCAGTACAAACAATACCATATTTGGCTACATGAACAATAGATGTTTGTACTGAATCTAGACCACAATGCAATGTGTAATACATATTGAACCTTGGACTAAGGCAGCATAACAGTGATGTTATCATCAGTAGGGATTCACATACCTAGTTCTTATTCACAGGGTGTGCAAGCACTTATGTTTATCGTTGGAACGCTGTCAATTAAAATGTCCATAGCAAAAGCTTTGGGAATCGCTGATGATGTAAGTTATTTTTGTAAAATTATTTTTAATACTGGCATTAATTGAAAAATTGGCATAGTGTCCAAAGTTAAATGCATGTATTATATGCTAGTTTTTGTAAGGGCAGGGAAATGTTGCTAACAGTATCTACTTTGATTTCCTCATTTATCCTTATCTTGTGCTTGTGCTTGTGCTTGTGCAATTGTTGTAGAAATCTCCTTCATTATTTGCTAGTCTGCACTGCATAGGACGTAGTCTTGGTCGTAGTCTTAGTCGTGGTCTTGCTATTGTCACATGGAACTTGAAAGAATAACAACTTTATGAACTCTACTTCCTTTTTTGTCCTATTTAAGGCACATATTGCTAGTATTCTCAAATCAAAGTTCACCGACTATCAAGATTTCCATACTCTCCTGTATACTTGTGCTCCTGAGTTTGATTTCATAGAGAATGAGGTTTGTATAACTCTAAAGGGAACACCATTGTCATTCATTGAATAATATTTGCACAAACAAAAGGGTCTATTGTAAGCAATTATTGTAGTTTATGTTCAGACTTCCCACATTGTCAAATAAAAGTCAAAGTAACTATTCCTCACTGTAGGTAATATACATTGTTATATTCCTTTTGGTTTTGTACTTATCTCCGTTTGAAATTTGCCAATCACTATCCTTACAACACGAACATTTTTTTAAATAGCTATATAAAACTATATTAATTACACATAATGACGCCCTCGAAGCCGATTAATGAATATATTGTTATTTAGACGCCAGTTAAACTTACCAAGACACTTTTACTACCTGCTGCAGTGGCATCAATCACAGCTGTTTTGTACAAGGTATTTATTCCTCTAGAATTTTTATGTTGAAAGGTAGATGACTTAGAATAAAGCAATGCAGAACAAGTGAGAGATAAAACGAACATCAAATGAATAGAAACATGCGTTTTATAATCGTCAAAATTTCTTCAAAAATGTTATATTGCATAAAGCAGAAAAATCGAAATATTTGTTTTTACCAGAAAAGAAAAAAATGAATAAAAAGGAGCAATAATGTTTTAAATTATTTCAATTCTACAGGTTGCACTTTCTGAATGGAATTATTGGTTGTTTAAAGACAAACCTCAAAATAATGCAGACCTTGAAGAAGACAATGAGTAAGTTGAACATTCAACACAAGCTTTGAAGACATACGCATTGATGGTGTTTGCCAATAAGTAAATGAACTGAGTTCAAAAGTCAGTATATTAAGGAATTGAACAGCACATACACATCATATACTGTAATTACGTTTGTATCTGCATTTCATGGTTTTAACCACAATCCCAAAATTGTACWTGAAGTTATTAGAATTTTTTACACTTTTGTCGTATTACGTTTTTAGAGTTCAAGCAAATCCAAAGCCAAATGCAGAGGTAAGTACACTGAAWGAATGCTTTGCAACATCAGAGAAAGCAGCCATTTTGGACAAACACTGTCAAAATTGCTTGGGATCATCAAAAAAAATTAGCTTTCCAAATATGAAATGCTCCATCCAACACCAGCTCTGGTAAGGAGGGGCGAGCAGGGAGCGTAGAAAGAGTGTTCTCCCTCCCTCCCAAGAGGGGCTGATATTCAGACAATGTGTGGGTGAAAACATGTATATTGAATTAATTTCTGTCTTTTCTGTGTTTGTCAGTATGTCTACCACGTCCTCCAGGCCTTTGCATTTATTTTCATGGCTATTATCATCATGCGTCTTAAACTGTTTGGAACACCTGCATTATGCGTCATGGCTTCTCTTCTTGCATCCAGAAAGGTAAACCAACACGTCACCTTACGTAATTCTTTCAGTCAGCTCGCATTATGACAAACATCTTCAGGATCAAACGTATCTCTGCAAAGGCAAGTTCTCAGAGGAGTTTTCTGTGGAGCGAGGATTTATTCAAATGTCCCCGTAATAATGACTTGTCAATACGTGTTTTAGAAAGAGTTGACAGGGTATCATAAACTGTCCTCCTGCAATGATGCAATGGTGGCTGTTTTTTTCACGATTTTGGGAATGATTCTAATAGAGGAAAGCGCTTAGTGAGTGCAACAAAGAGAGCACAAGAAGCCAGTTTCTCATCATGCATTTTATAGAAAATAGTGTCGGTGCACAAGCATTTTTTTGTAACTATTTTTTTTTTCTTTGCCAGTTTTTTGGTTTCATCGGAGATAAAACAAAACACCAAGCTTTAATAGTGTGTCTAATTGCCATGATGTCAGTGCAGGGCTACCGGAATCTTCAACAACAATTTGTAAGTACATAACTCTCCATCAACTGATCTGAATTTGTAGAAAAAGAAGGCTAGGAAGAAAGTTTTGATATCCAAAATAACATTAGTAAGAATAGCAACAAAAATTATGATTCAAAACATATAATTAGGATCATCAATATATATATTTTTTACACGGAGAGGAAGACTATCCGTTTTGGGTTACTTCACACAAGATGAATTGAATTCATGTATTYTCTGACATTTTAGAACACATCAGGAGAGTACAACAATCCCGACATGGAAGAATTGATAGAATTTATAACTTCAGGAACCCCTAAAGGTGCGTTTTAAACATTTTTSTCTTTATAGTGAAATGATCTGGTGTTGTTGAGTTTGTGTATCATTCCTTTTTAGAATGATTTGATGATGTGCTCTTTCAACTCCCTCAACTCCATTTAATYGAGTTCTTTTTGGTTTCCACTAATGTATTATCATGCGTGTTATTGTAGAATCCGTGTTTGCTGGTGCAATGCCAACTATGGCTACTGTAAAGCTGTGCACTGAAAGGGCAGTCGTTAATCACCCACATTATGAAGACGTGCGAATACGGTAATATTTGTAAATTCGGTCGAAGTGTGAACTAGCGGTAAACTAGTGTGAGCTGCGTAGGTGTGTCTAAAGAAGCAGTTGTAAAGAAACAGATAAATTTAAACCGTAAAAAAGTAAGTGAAGCAACTTACTGACGTTTCTGAAGTTAATCCTTCGTCGGAGAAAAAATTCACCTTGCAGTTCTTAATATAAGTCATTTTGATTGGCTAACYGGAACAATAGACTTTATTGTTTATGCTTTGTTCAATTTACTTTCACTTTGGGCTTTGGGTTGGGTCAACCAATGACCAACCTCTACGTTYCTGGGAGCTGCAAATTTACCCAAAAGTAACAAGCAACTGAAATTGTCAAAATCTTTATTATTTTCTTTTTGYGATGTAGAGAAAGAACCCATAACGTGTATCAGATCTTCAGTCGTAAACCACCTCAAGTTGTATGGAATACTTTGAACTCTATGAAAGTCACACATGTTATTATTGACCAACAATGGTGCTTTGGAAGTCCGAGGTAAGGCATTACTCATATWTGTGTGTTCAGTATGTTATCCTCTAGTACGTTGGTTGTTGTAACACTCTGCACTTGAGAAACATTTGAGCAAATCAATACAAATGASATCATGATAATGCCAAAAGCAAAATGGAGTTACCAGCAGTTAACTCTTTGTTATGTTATATTATGGTATACCAGTATCTACTGGGGAAGGCCTGTTATGGGATAGCATGCAACCCATATCTACTGGAATTRCGGTTATACCATAACTAGMCAGTAACTACTGGACTGGCGGTTATACCAACCCATAACTACTGTAGTTGGTTCATATTGTGCCAAGTTATCTGACGTCAAAGTGATCCTCTATGTTTTCGCGCGGTTGCCCCCATTTCAAAAATGACTGCGTTTAGTGCCCGCATATGGTATGCCTTCACGACAGTTCCAATAAACATATTGTCGTGAACAACATTTATAATTTTTTGCAATTTTTTACTTTCTTTCTTCTTTTCTATTTATTTTAAATGATTATTAATTAATCCACTACTCCATCGTAGGCCTGGCTGCGGAATGGCGGACATGTGGGACCGTGAGGATGAAGAAAATCGAGGTAGGACGATGTGTTGCCAGCWATTGGTAAAGAAYCCYKCGCCATTCATTCCGGCATTTAGAAATAAACAATATTCAGTCTACCAGCTGAAGGGATATTAATGATAAATTATTCTTATAAAGCTAGATATTTTGAAATTTAAATTTACTTTTAACCAATGTGAAATCATGTAAGTTAAAWCTGTTGATAGGTAGGTTAAAACGAATTCCTCAGTCGAGCTACTGGCGAATTTTATCACTGACTGACAATAATGACCTTGTGTTTTGAATAGCAGTACTTGTCATTGCGAAAAATAGTTTTATTATTTAATGCATAGATTTATATTCCTGGACAAAATCTAATTTATGTATAATGAGCCACGCCCTATAATGATATAGGAGAATCCATTAATGAAATAAAGACAATTCAAATTTTGAGATTTAATGATTTTGTTGTTGGAGTTGATCGTGATAGACCTAGTGTTAATCGTGGTCTTATAAAGATTAACGTCCGAAACTTCAGTAACTTGTTTCACCTTTTTTTACTGTGTTAAATTTATCTTTTTACACAACTTTAGAAACACCAACGCAGTTCACACTAGTTCGCGGCTAGTCTCCACCATCTTCATTATGGGTTTGGTTTTAGCTTTGGTGGTGTTTGCGCTGWTGTTGTTGATGTTGGTTGTGTTGATGATGAGGTGATTTTTTTATAGTAACTAATATTATCCAATAATGCCAGTGCAGAAATATATTTTTATGATACGAACAGTACTATGAGTTCCTCATTTGATAATTAGTCGGACTAGCCTACTTTAAAATTACCTTTTAGCCAATCTATCTGTGTGTCATGTCGCGTTTGGACCACCGGAAGTTAACAATTTAATAATTAACTATTGGGTTGGCTGTGTTATTACATGACCGGAAGCTCAAACGTATTGATGTACGAATATCGTTAGTAAATATTATATGCTACTTGCACTTTTATATGACAAAAAAACTATTCGTTTACAAATGTGGTATCTGTGATCTCATCGGAATGCATCAGTCTAGGTATCAGTACGCGCATGTGCAGATCGCTTGGTGCTTCGAGTAGTATGCTTACGAAACTAAATCAATGTCCTTTCTAGCGTTAGGCAGTCCTGTGTGGGCAAAGATTTCAAATTAGAACAAGAAGAAACATTTTTTGTCAATAACAAAAAGGCGAGTTTATGATTTTATGGTATCATTTACTTTTGGGTCTGAGAGGTCAACGTTCACTTAGCATCACATAATCTACATACCAACGTTTGATTTTATCAGTGAAAGCAAGGACTCCTTTAAACGTTCATTGCTGGTATTAATTACATGACCTTTTTGGTCAAGTTTATTTTAGTCTCAAGAGAGTTTGGATATTTTGAACTAGACGCTCTTATTAGACCGTGAGTTCGGCTATTTTGGAGAAAAATTTAAAGAAATATATATTTTAATCTAATTTTTATCTTTTATGTAATATCCTGCTGTCTTTCTCAAGTTTCATTTTCATTCATAATATCATATGATTAGACAAAATATAACATCATAATGTTTTCACTCGTGTTATCAATTTTCAAAAATAGCTAGTCCGACTTCACGCCCCAGGGGCGTCTAGTTATATTTTGGATTTGAATAAAACTTGATGTGCGCAGTGAGAGATTGTGTTTAGTTTGTTTACAAAAACCTTGAAATATACTTTGAGTGGTGGTAGATACGTAGGGTTATTGTAAGTGGTGGAAGGTGAGGTGGTATTAGAATTGTGTCGGTGTTATTATGGGGTAAGTGAGTGGTCGTGCTGGTGCTGGTGGTGGTCGAGGTATTGGCCACCATAACCAGTGCCCTGAAATTTGCAGAAAAAACGATTCCTTGCATGTACGCTTTCATTTCGATGCTCAAAATGTTACAGCCGACGTAGCGGTAACGTTAATAGTGAGAGATATTTCTCTAACCAATTTCCAGAACGCAAAACCTTTTTACTTAAGCTTAAATCAGTAAACCAACATGAAATAGGAATAGGTAACATCACAAATAAGCGTTAAGGACAATCCGTAATTTAGTCCCAGCGTTGAGTTRGTTTTCGTATCTCCTGTATGTTTGTGTTWATGGTTGTGTTAATAAAAATGGTTGTGTTCTCAAAATGAAAGCTACGTGTCTATTTGTGTTGACTTGATCCGACCTTTGATTGAAAACCAAAAAATGACAAGTCTAATGAAATGTTTAAGCGATTTTATTTTCACAACATAAACTTGCCGCAATAAGATTAGGATTGAACAAAACTCAAACGTTTATCTAATTCACATGTTCCAGTCTGTTTGATAAATAACAACTTTGTTCGCGGTAAGACACGGTCTTACACAGTTATTTACAAGGAGTTGCTTCCATCTTCAATGTCATCTTCACTAACTATAATCTTCATCAAATTGTCCGTCGTAAGTTCCAATCCAGTATCTAATTCTATAAGGTCTTTGTAATTAAAACAAAGGATTCTCAAGTACTTGGTACCACTCCACATACGTCGATCCAAAGTCCACATGACTAAGGCTTAATCTTCGTCTTATTTACTTTCCAGCGCATGGGCATGGAGCTGGGCATGGTACTGGGCATGGTGCTGGGCATGGTACTGGGCATGGTGCTGGGCATGGTACTGGGCATGGTGCTGGACATGGTACTGGGCATGGTGGTGGTGGTGGAGGTGGGAAGTGATGGACGTGTTGATGGACGGTTTGGACGGTGTGGCATGGTGGCATACATGGTGCTGCTGGTGGTGGAGGTGGTGGTGGTGGAGCTGGATGGGTAATGTGAGTGAAGACATGTTGATGAGAGTCAACCTGCATTGGTGGTGGTGCTGGCATTGGTGGTGGTGGTGGAGCTGGTGGAGAGGCATGAAATTGGACGCTGTGTTGCACCTGGTGTTGGTGGCAAGGTGGTGGACATGGTGCTGGTGGTGGTGGCGGTGGTGGTGGTGGTGCTGGATGCATAACGTGAGATACAACGTTTTGAACGTGGTTCATAGTAATTGGTGGTGGTGGTGGAGGAGGTGGTGGTGGGCATGGTACTGGGCATGGTGGTGGTGGAGGTGGTGGTGGTGCACAGCAGCTGACTGGGCAAGATGGTGCGCATACTGGTGGCGAACATCCAAAATCACATTTCTTATTGCCTGTAGACGAAACACAAATCATATTTTCAAACTTTTCGTAATATTTTACGTTTCTTCTTTATAACACTAAAACGTACACAACCAGAGATAAGGACATTTATCCTCTGGAGAGCATTGAGGCCTTGGGGATTGTTACCCATGCGCGAGGATTGTGATCTCGTTTCGCCTCAGGTGTTGTCGTGGCCTTGGGATTTCCACTTCGTGGAGATGATCGCGACAGCTCATTGCCAGACAACTTATCAAATTTGATGTCTAAACTATGACCTACATTGGAGTACTTAATACCCTTCAACATTATCCCACAATCTGTTATTGTGTCTTTACTGTCATGGTTTTGAAGGATAGAGTGATCAGTGATGCTTGCCGTTCCATAGTCKTTTAATTTAAAAATTATTTCGGTAGATGCACTATCAAATCCCACTTTATAATATTCTATTATCAACGACTACACATTTTTTTTGTGTGTTTTGTTGTAAGCATGTTTGCGTTACAACCTGTCGATAAACGGGTAGCCAATACAAACAACTATTCAGGAGCACTCAAAACTACTGCAGGTTTTAAATGATTCATAAGCATCACACGGGTCATCTATTACGATCTGCTGTTCCATGGCCCACCGATTGTATCGAAATTACTATTACGCTTCTTTATAACAGTTGATATTTTGTTATTCTTATAATATCCCATAGCGCAATTGGATATTTTTTTCCCAAGTAAACAAAGCTCAGTAAATTGGTCATGATCAGTGTGTGATCATATTTACGGTAAAATAAACCATGAAATGCGATAAGTACACCATCTAAAACGTTTCCTTACGAGCAAGTTATTACCTTTAACACTCTTGGCCTCCGTAGATACGGCAATTGCCACAAGGGCTAATAATACTAGTCGCAAATCCATTATTCTGTGAACAGATTCAAATTTTATGTCATTAGAACTTTGGAATGATTTATTTCCACATAACAACCTTGATGAGGAATGTAAACAAAAAAATTGATTTTTTGGAAAAGACTTTTTTCCCTAAAAATCATCTCATACAACTTTTGATGCTGCAAAGGTTCTTATATATAATAAAAACAGCAAGTCCATAAATGTTCCTTTCTGATCATCGGTTCATGTGTCTGAACAAATGAACCAAAACTTAAGTCATCATTTAACTGGACTCTAATTTCAAATATTTTTCAAATCATTTTTTTGCAATCTGGAACTAAAGAAAGAATGACTAATGAATAATTTCATATATGATAAAGGCAAAGCCCCGTCCGTCTATGGGTATGTGTAATAGACAGGGTGTTGAACTATCCTTTAAGAGATACATACTCTATCTTTTTTATCCTAAGTTTAGTGATGTTTTAAATTCTTCAAAAAGAAACAAAATCTAACATCGTTTGTCATTTTCTTTGTGATGTTAGAAAAAGTCTTTTTCTATTGACTAGTGTAAAATAACAGTTAAAATAGATTCAAATACTACTCACCTAGTACAGTTTCCTCACACGACTAGTGCAACTAACAAGTACTTTTCTTCTCAATTATGATCGCCGCGGAAGTCTATTTCCAGTCTTGCATTTGATTGGATAATGCCAATTACTCATGTGTGTAGACTCCATATAAGGTAACTGTTATGGTTCATTACAATTTTGCGGGACTAGGTCATCTGATGAGATCCAGGGTCACGACTGAGGAAATCGTCCTGTAAATTATTGACCAGARCACCTGTTGTTTCGTTGAAGGGCCACTCACAACTCGACAAGGAACTTGTACCTTATTTAGAAATCTTTCATAACGTTTCTTTTTTTACAAACAAACGCCTCTGAGAATCTTTGAGAGTTTTATGGGAAAAAACGCAAAAAAATACGAGACTTTTATATTGTCGCAGCATCTTCAGGTCCTATCAGGTTTCAAGGTTTTTTATTAATTTTTAAGGCTCCAAAAGGTTAAAATATCCCAGTAAATGGTGTTTGTTTAGATTTAGTCACCTTCACGGTTTCGTGAAAGCTAAAACAGTGAACCAAAGCAGTCCATCCGCCAAATATAGACATAGATTGTTGCTGACACGGAATCAGTGAGCAGTGACAAAAGGGTTGAATGCCCGATTAATCAAGGCAGCCGGGCATAAAAATCTCTCGAGGAGAACAATGGAATGAACAAATTAGCTTGGACTTTTGTTTCTCTAGATAGCAAGTGCGCTTAACCTGCTGTTAACCAAAAAACCATCAGCCTTGACAAATATGATTGATTGCTGGTGGAATCCACCTCTTACAGACATCTCTACTTGTATTAATTCAATACCATTTTTTCTATAAAATCAAGGAAATTTGGCTGCTGGAATTCTATTTAAAAAATAAGATAAAACAACAAATTGTAGTGGGAGCTTTCCGATGAAATTTTTAGGAAATCCCCCTTCCTACATATTACTTTTTTAGACTTGTGTTTTGGACTTTTACCCGTCGAATGGGGAACTAAAAATGAACGGAAATTGTAGCGCAGACAAAACTTTCTCTATTCAAATGGAAATAAAAATCAATAACAAGGTCTAGAGTTTTCCGTCCAGGTATCTGGCATTGACTTATATGTTCGTTTTCCCTCTTTTTTCAATTTGATTTCCTTCGAGGGTCATTATTAACGATATGTGTAGCACACGATCAACTGTTCTTCCAATTCTACGTTGGAAACTTGATTTGTGCTTTCACTGTGCCTGTTGGTATGGTAATGGTGAAACCAAGACTGGACTAATTAGAGACTTAGCTAGACTTCAGTGACAATCCGAAGCATTTCAAAATATGTACAAGATCAAGAGTAAGCAATCTTGTGAAAGAAAGGATTCAACAATTTGAGACAATGACTTTCAAACAAATGCAAAAAGAAAAGAATTTGGGAAAGCCAACATCGATGCATTTAAACATTCCAAGCCACATAAATGCAAATTTATGTAGTGATAAAATGGTAAAATACAGGGTTCGCAGTGMAAAAGACTGAMCGAACTGTCATCGATTTGCTGTAGCTAATCAAAGCAAGGTTTTTTGTTTGTTCTGCAGTCTGCCGTTTACAATTTCCACTTATTGATGGCACAAACCTTTTTCAATATGCCTCGTCGGCAGGGTAGTGTGCCTCTCAATATGTATGCCTTAGGACATTTTTTGAGATCAAGGTGTGGATATAGATCACTAAATTGTAAAGAAATATATAGATAAATGAACACAAAAGACATGTATAATTCTAATACTACTTTTATTACACGTTCATTTACATACAATATTGTACGTTGTCACAATATCAAACTATGACTGGTGGTCACGCAACAGAATCCATAGCGTTATTTAAAGACAGTTAAGTACAATGTGTACAATGAGTCTTTTACTACCTAGACATCATTTGGCTTCTCCAAGCGTCTCTAAATTTGCTTATAGCAAAAGAAATATACAGCGCGTGGTAAGATTTTTAAGCCAATAAAAATCTTGTCACGTAGTTCCTGTTCACATCAAAAACGTTCGAATCAAACTTTTTAACCAGATCGCTTCTTGCAGCAAGATGGTGCGCATGCCATAGGGCATGCTGGTGCTGGGGCGGCCATACAGGCTGGTGCGCATGGGGCTGGTGCAGGCATTGGCATTGGCATTGGGACTGGCATTGGGGCACATGGTGGGGCACATGGTGGTGGTGGAACGTATTCCCATACGTGTTGTTGACTCTGAACAACTGCTGGAGGTGGGGCAGGCATAGGTGCGGCAGGCATGGCTGGGGCTTGTGGAGCTTGGTGGTGGATGGTGTGGTGGTGAACGTGGGTCACGTGGTTGACCATCTGTGGTGGTGGKGGTGGGGGTGGGGGTGGCATGCAGCAGTATGTTGGGCAAGCTGGTGCACATGATGTTGGAGCACATGAGAATCCACATGGCATGGCATCTCTTTTTACTGAGGTAAAGAACAAAATACACAGTCAAAATATAATGTTTGAAATGGGTGGTGTTATATTACAAAATGGTCTCTATTTGGTAGTTTTGGCGAGTTCTTTTGATTACTATGAATGCTAAAATGTTGATGATAAACAGTATCATTTGATGAATTAAAAATTGGATTTTACTAAAATAAAGGAGAGCCACAATTATTTACTTTATGATGACAGATCGATTTACAGTCATTCTGGTACCAGCAACTGCATTTAACGGCTCTCGATCTTTGGTTCGGTGTTGATTTTTTTATAATTATTTTAGTTTAAGAACAAATAAAGTTTGGCTATTTTTGTCAAATGATTTTTTCTTATTTGCACTTGATAAAAACACGACGAGTAAGCAATTGAAATTAAGAATATAGAAATCTTATTAAATATTTGACGGTTGTTTTCATTATCTATTCAAACGTTATGTTTTTTCAATGTAAACAACCTGTAGCGTTGGCTAAAAATTAAGGCTTGCATAGCATTCTATTTTTTTTTCTTTTATATACATCTTAAAGTAAATTTTGTTGGACGCCTCCTCATACAATAGACGGACCAACAGAACTCAACTTGTCAATGGAAAATGAATCGTTTTACTATTTTATCAAGCATATTGTAACTGTTGAAATGGTTTACAACAATTCTCGTACCTAGTGGGTTGGCGTTAACGCACACCACGACGGCTAAGAGAAGAAATTCTAGGCGAGCCATTATATATAAATCTGAAAAAGGCAACAGATATTAAAACAAATACAAAGGATAAAGAATTATAATCATGATAATATAATGAGGTTGATAAACTAGACTGATAAAGTAAATCACTTCCATCCACTGCCCAGGAACTAAATCAAGTAATGTGAAAGAGATTCCTATATCGATTAAAATCATAGTACTTACAAAAGATCAGTTTATAATGTGATGCTTAGAAGCTTTGTCCCGAATCAAAACTGAACAAACGATTGAATGGCTTACCTTAAGTAAAGATGTTGACCACTTTATGATCTCCCTTCGGTGCGGGCTGCTTTAGAATGCAAAAGTTATGAATTATGAGCAAGGTTGACTGTGGTCACTGTTGCTGTTCCAGATGACTTCTTATTGGCTGATCATTACGATGGGATCATGTGACTAAGTCCTAACGGGTAATATTAGTTCATGGTAGTTGCACTGACATCATGGTTCACCAATGGAGCGTGGTGACACTTATACGATKAGGTCATTATCCGCCAGCCCCTAGCACCCTTCCCCAAAATTCCAACTCAAAGTTTTTTTCAATCACGTGGGAAAACCTAACCAAGCAGACTTTGATGAGCTAAATTCACCAACGTCTAGACGTAAATTTTTTAAATCACTCAGTACTTGGTTATAAGCATTTTAGACATCTTAAATACGTGCTACAGTTCGTAAAATTACAGATRAAGTTTTTGAAATTGTTTTTGTTTCCCTGAGTGACGGTATTTTAGTTGTTTTTTTGGTACCAGTTGAATGATTGCCACTCCAGCCATGGTCTGAAGTCAGAGACCGAGACAGCGGGTTCCTGTCGAGTTCTTCATGGTGGCAAAAAAAACCTTTGATTGTAAAAACTAGTAATGTAATTGACCTTTTGTGTTATGTTTTGAATTTTACTGAAAAAAGTCGACTTTTTCTAAGGTACTGTTGGTATATATACACAGTAAGAGGAATCGATGGCGGACATTATTAAAATCCTTGTTTGATCGGCGTATATGTGTGAAGTACTTATGGGACAAGTGATTTCCATTAAGTCCAATGAAGAGACAAGTGACCATGTTAACGTTRCACGCTTGAATCGACTATACAAACTGATTTTCGTAACTTGAATTCATGAAAACAAGAACTCTATGCGCTAGCAATTTAAACAATGAAATAAAAACGCTTCATAACCCTTTGTTTGTCAAACGATACCAGCAACTCTCCACACAAGAGGTCTCTCATCTTAAACAAATGACATTTTTGGCGAAAAATTCAAATTTCATTGGGACTCTGTTTCTATTTGACCATTTCGCATTTGAGTGATAAAGTATTTTCGTAGATACAAATGGAATTTCATTTCTTATTATTAAACATCATTAAAAAATATGAAAATAATGGAATGATTGTCTTAGAATTGTTTTTACTGAATTAAATATATGAATACAAATCGACGCTTCGACACTTATTGACTTTTGTTTACACGTATTGAGCCGTTATAAATCGTTTCTTCATAAAAGGGTCAAGGGGAACTTTTATTCATATAGACACATAAAACTACTTTCACAATTTCTATTAAGTACCAGTGTTATGTTTATTAATTGGAAAACAATGAAGATATTTAAAAATTAAAAACATAATATTAGGAAGACAAAAGATGTAGTAAGTACTCAGATTTTAAGTTGGCTAGTTCGAACGTTGTACTTTATATAAACCATTTTACACGGTATTTAATTCATCCTGAAATGGTCTGTGCAAAACCTGACTAGATTTGATAGCTGTAGTTTATATKACGTAAGCCTTTGTTATCCTTGTGCMAACCAGAAAAAATGACTGGCCGTTTGAACAAAACAACTTGTGAAAAGCCATTGTGYCYGGGTTTGGCATTGASATGCTATTGGGTTTGTTGATAAACATGRATTATCACTCGGGATTAACACYTTAGGATTTATATTATCTTAAAWTGACCTCCATTTTTCAAATCGATATTTAGTGTTAAGAGAGCTTTGAGTAACCGTCTGTCCTGTGCAATCTCGTAATAATAGTGCATTATTRTAAACTAAATGAGCCCAAAAACGGTTGATTCTGCCCATGCAGTGCGAATGTTCATTTAGAGMCATTGATAAACTTCCTATGGCGAGTACCGCCTGATTTTGATGTTTCCATACAGAAAACATTTTTTCTTTCTAATTTAAATAGACATKATAAAATTGATAACTTGTCAAAAAGCGAAAAAATGCAAAAATAGAGCAAATCTTGCAGAGGAGGAAGAGCCATAAACAAACATCTTAATTATAACCGCTTGCCTGAACACTGTACAGTTAAAGAAGTGTACAGTAGAACGGAGGAACAGGCTTTCGAACTGTAGACAGGTGAACAGTCAGACAAGAATTAAAGTCTTTTTCCAAATGTGCATTACAAACATTCAAAGATGCTTTTCACTGAACTGGCGCTCTATTGATTCCCATTTACGTTTTGTGAATTATGTAAAAATAAAGACGAATACAACAATTACGCAAATCGTAAAACGATAAATGTTTTATTTATACATTTCCACTCTTTCGTCGTAAAATGAACGAAACATTTTACACTGCACGCCCCATAGAGACGTTATTCCTACTGATGTACAAGGGAAGCATTTACAAACAGGGACTTCTACAGGAAGTTCACATGGCATTAATGTTCTAGAACTTCAAGAACGAGTACTAAAAACTACAAAGAGGTTTAATCCTTCTTTGCCTTCTTGGTGGTTTTTTCTTCGGCTTCCTCTTCCTTTTCCTCGGCTTTGTCTTCGGCTTTCTCCTCGGCTGTTTCTTCATCATCATCGTCCATGTCTTCTTCAGCAGATGCAGAGCCATCATCTTCATCGTGGACTGGGTGGATCTAGAAATTTCAAAATGTACAGTTAATATGTGCACTGATAAAATCGGTTGATTTAGTCTGCTGTGCTYTATGATTTTCAGTGTTTTTGAAAACAGACAAGTTACCTTGTTCTTCTTGCAGCATGGTGGTGGAGCACAGGCTGGAGGTGCACATGCTGGGGCACAGATGCATACTGGTGGGGGTGGTGGTGGTGGTGGTGGATGAACGTGATGATGGACAATAGTGTGGACATGGTGGATACGTTGTGGTGGAGATGGTGGTCCTGGCATTGGTGCCATTGGTGGTGGTGGGGCTGGTGCCCAAGCGTGGTCAATGGTATGTTGAGTAGATTGCACATGGCATGGTGGTGGGCATGGTGGTGCTGGTGGTGGTGGAGGAGGGGGAAGGACCTTATGGTGAACAATATTCTGTACATGGGTAATAACTTGTGGTGGTGATGGTGGCATTGCCATTGGAGCCATTGGTGGTGGTGGGGCAGGTGCCATATGATGAGATTGTTTCACAGTTTGTTGGAAAGTATGGCACTGTGGTGCTGGTGCACAAGGTGCTGGGGGTGGCATCATTACAACTGGTGGTGGTGCTGGCGCACATGGAGCCATTGCTGGTGCACATGGTTCAGCCATGATTGGAGGTGAACAACTATCTACACATTTCTTGGTTCCTTTGTTATGTGTTGCTGTTTTGGCTGAAAATGAAAACAAGTTCTGTAAATAAAAGTGATTAGCATAAAGAAAAGAAAACCCGACGTTTACCGAAGACTCTATTCTCATATTCAATATCTATTAGACTATTTTTGTCTAGGAAATCAACTGATATCAACTATAGTCAAGTTTAAATTACGAGGTCAATCTGAAGGTATTTCATTTGTGATTTTTTTTGTACAAAAGATTTAAATCTTCTCACAAGAACTCTCCAAAGGAGATTGTCATGATGATTAATTCCAGTGAAGTGTACATTAAGAAACCACTATGAAATCACAATGACTGTTTTGTCAAACGGAGCAGGTCATTTGCTGTGTTGTTTATTATTTGAGATCATCTTTCGGTTCAATAGTTAAGATGGGTGTTACAAAAATTTGAAAAAGACMGGAGAAGTGAATCTTGTTTTATCAATTTAACATTACTCGTATGCATTTCCATTAAAACAAGTCTTGTTATAATGCAGAAGAAATTATTTTTGAAATTATTATTTTAAGAAACGATACCGTGCGTCTAAGATTCACATACATGTATCTTTTCAAAGTTCATTATAATYAATTTACCTTTAGTATTCTTGGCGGGAGCGGCTTTTTTGGCCGGAGCCTTTGGTCCGGCTTCTACAAACAGACATAACGCCAACGAGACTAGAAGAATAAATACTATTTTTGAGGCCATCCTGGCTGGAAAAAAAAAGAATCAAAATGTCATAAATGTGATCAATAAAGTAGCTTATAAAGAAGCAAATTGCAGCGTCTCTTCGTGGCTGTCTTCGAAGGACTAAAATATAGTTGAAGATGTCTTGTCTACATTGACCTTTCCTTTCGATCAYACGATTGCATYGAGGTAGATTATATACATGGAATTRTAAATACACATCGAGTAAAGGAAATACAATGACTCAATATCATGTTCTGTAGGTTGATAACGGATAGGACAGCCAGTGATAGTATATTACTATGAGACACTTGTTGAAGAAGTCACACACAGTGATATACCATCAACGTGCTTTTTTACTCAAAAATAACACCAAACCAATTGCACCAGTTCAAATGGCCATTGACGATCTTGTCAATTAGGTGTTACTTTTGTTTTAGAAAGCTTTTAGTTCAGGTTCTTGTCATTTGTTAACATTTACCTTCGGAAGCTATTCCAATTCGGGCCCCGGTTCAAGTGAATAATCACAAAATTCTCATAATACGTTTTATGGAAACAAAGATTTAATCAATTATTGATCATCAGTCGTCATCCCTCAGGCTTCAGGTCATCGACTCAAGTCATGTGAATTATTGAACGATTACTGAGCTATCAAAGCAAAATAAACCCACAAATTCCTCCTAAAAAGACACATTATCAAATGAAAGACATTACAACGTTTTAACTTGTGTACTTTTTGATCGTATGCGATAGGAATTTCTTAGATTTTTATTTCTCAAAAGTCATAAATCTTGATTTTAGAATGATCGTAGTTTTGATCACGTGATTGATAACCTGTACGGGTGGATAGGAGATACCTGCAGACGCTTACCAAAACTTGACAGTGGTTTGTACGAGCAAGCCGTCCTATCGAATCATCCAATTCTCCTAAACTCAAGACAAAATTCTCTACAATAGAATAGCAATTTAGTCAGCTTTAGTATTGAAATTACTGACAGGAMGAGCGATGCRCAATGTTTCATCGTTTTATTTGTAGTTGTGAAGAAAGAGGAGGCCTACACTCCTCCACAGTGTTTTGAAATACTTAAATGATTGTGTTATCACATTGTTTACTATTTTAGTACCGCTGATCATTTAGTGTGATGAAATGTTCTTTTTTTTTGAAATAGTTGTATCCATCAATAGAAAAATAAGCTAAGAGAAAGCTAAGGTAATTGCTCAAATCACCCAATGTCGCCAAGTGTCGTTGATGCTCAAATGACCCATGTCGGGGAGAGATCCACTACTTGTGAGCTCACTGGATTCTTAACGCGTGAAGAATACCTTTTGAGTACCAGAAAGTTGTGCAGTGACACTGATCAACATTATCATCACATCTATAAACATTTATTTTCGAAGCAATCTAAATTCTATTTAATTCCTTCATCACAAGAACAAAACAAAACGAAAACTACAGACAGTGCAAGAACTAAGTAAAACTATAAGGCTACACTCTACATTGACTATAAAATCGTGTAAAGTCACGTTCCCATCCAAATAGTTTATGTTCACATCGACATAAACGTCTGTTTCGTTTATCATCAAAATACTTTCTTTTTGGAGAATTGGCTGGAATTAGAAATTTCGTCACTGTGGTGTGCTGCAAGACGAATTTTAATGCCATAAGTGTCTGACTACAACTTTTCAAATTTTCAAATTTCGTTTTAMATATCTATTGATTTTAGGGTGACAAACTATAAACAAACGGAAAATAGGCACCAAGAATCAAAGATCGTCGAGTAAAATTATGAAAATCGTGTGCCAATTTATTATCAGTAAGTAGCGAGGTTTTACAGATTTATTTTAAACATGACTTATAAATACAAACACTTACTTAAACGGCAGCACCTGTTTACAACAGGTCTATCATCACCGGTATGTCGGATATAATAAGAGAAAAAATACTTTGAAAAGCACACTTTTCTTTGCACATGAAAGCGGAAGGCAATTGAGATTCTGAAAGATGTGTACTTTCTATGTACAAAACTATCGTACTTTAGGATTTCAACAGAGTGTGAAATAAGGGCTGGTCAATGGACATTCTCCCGTCATGTCTTTTCGTTAGTGACAAATCCCCCGATCTGGTCCAGTTGATCTTATGTTCGAAGTTGAACTGTTCTGTATCGATAATGAAGTGATTAACTGGCTATATTTAGGTAAAATAGATTAGAATTCACTCTCCCTCAATTATAGTTCATTTTGCTTGTTTTTAAACCGTTTACCGTTTCGGACTCATGGTTAACAGCACTTGGCACCGTAAATAAACTACGAGAAGGGTAAATTCTAACTTCTGGTATTCAATTCAGAAATAGTTTCCAAGAATTTGAGTATCGCATTCCACAGAAAGTATCAACAGAATTATTTCGTATATAGTCAAGTTCTAAAATTTCCATAGCGCATATTTTCGGAAACAATTAGTTGTTGTTCTGTCTTGGTTCAAAGAGGCTCGAGGTGGAATCCGGCATCGAAACAGCCAGGCCACATCCTCGGGAACCCAGGGATAATCTTCTGTCGTTCGTTCCTCACTCCCAGAAAAAAATACCCCTGGGCACGAAGTCTGTTAGACCTTGTTCTCGATTCGAAATTCAAAATGGCAAACATTCTGATTGGTTGATTAACTTACTGGCCGCCATTTTGAATTCCGAAGCGAGAACTCTGCCCCCCCCCCAGAGACAAAGGGTAACAGTCCTCTTCACCCTGGTCCTATTAGCAAGGTATGATGACAGCTACTTGTGGTGGTTAAAAGTAAACGTATACTTTCTGTCTGGCTCGATGCTTCGATGGGAATTGGATCGAACAAGCCAGGTCAGCTGCCCAACTCTTGGTCCCCCAGAGTGTGAAAACAAAGGATATCAGTCTGGAGGTCCATTACTCTTGGCATGAGCCCCATTTGCAGGGTGTAATGCCGACCAACACTTGAATAGTAGTGGCAAAAAATATTTATATGTGTTGCTTATGCCTCATCATTTTCTGTAATAAAAAACTTACAAAATAGCATCCGGTTGTTTTCCGCCGAAATACGATTTGATAAGGATCTCATTGGTCGTGTTATCCATTGATCGATCACTGATTACATGAATAGAACTTTGGTTTTCATGACAAGGATAGTTCGCTAACGAAATTTCCAAATTTGATGGAATCGTTTATATCAGTTTGTTGTGTCTTTAAATTTAAAAATTGTTTTTGTTGTTGTTGTTGTTTGTCTGTTTTCGTTGTTTTCTGTTTGCATATTTTTGTTTCTATTGAATTTTTCTTTTCTTTTCCTTTGTTGTTTGCTATTATTTTCCTTTCCTTTTTCTTCAAGTGCTTTTATTTCGTGTGAGAAGCACTTCATATATAACCAGAAATAGAACTCAGAGCCTACTCATTATTGCCAGCCAGCGGACTTATCATGAAGCAGACGTCCGTTGTCCGTCTTTACTTTGATTGAGAAACTGTTGTACATGTATTCAGTATTCATGTAAAACGCTTTSTTTAGTAATGYGAATTCTTATCTGAKGCCGGGTTGTGACTGAGCTGACCTGGGTAAAAAAACAACCGGGTTTAACAAAATCCACGAGCGTCGCCTTAGTTCTAGGTGAATACACCATCACKTTATGATTATCACGAAAATCCATTGAATTCTGTGTCGTTCTTAAAAGAGCCGGAATGCAAATTTCTATTGAGGCAGAAATTGACGGGGGTATTCTAAAGTTGCTCCAAAAACATCAGTTTATGTTCAAGGGGGTAAATGTATTTTTGAAACTCATTTTAGTCCTAGCAAAAGCTGATCCACTGGAAAAGGACTATTTCATGTACCGCGGAGCAACGATACCTCGTGTGGTGAATATTTATAGTTAGGGCCCGGTCTGCATGACGGTACAAGTGACGTAGACATTGGGGAAGACGAAAGCAATGAATTATGGGTGGATAACATCAATATCAGCTCTGACCTTTCCGTACGTTTGTGTACGGAAACTCCATTTTTTTCTGAATTAGGGATTGCTTCCTTGCTTCGAGCGCTTCAAGCGCGCTACGCTGCGGTAGCAATTAATTTAGTGCAAAAAGGTCTTTTACCATAACTTGTAGAATTCTCGCGCGCTGATTGTTCGAGAGCCGTTGTCAATCTTAAATAGTATGTATTATCTAGGGGACCAACATTAATAAAAACAGCAATTTTTTGACTTGGAGAGAGCTGAAACTTCGCATAGATGTGTAATAAATTAAGAAAAATATATTGTGTGAGTTTGAATTCATTTTATTAAGATTTCCTACTTTTATTGAAGTTTTCGTTTTTCAACACACAAGACCTTCAGAGAAAAGCCGTGCAGTGCTTGGCCTACCWGTGCCTCACGAATCGATCCCCAACCGTCCATGCAATCTATATGCGCTGTCTTATACCAYTACACCACCGAGATTCTGATGAGATTCCTCGGAAGATATAATACTTGCTTAAAAACCATATGAATTAGGCTCTTTAGGAATGCCATGAATAGCAGACAAAGACAGATTGAATAGCTTTTGTCTCAGAAACCCGTTCGGGAATTGGAAAACAACAAAACGGTGCTTCATATATTTAAAATTAATGAAAAATTGAAAACCTTGGTGAAGATGCAGTCAATATATTTCATGTACTTCCTTCGCTTTTTCCCCCTCCTGATTAATTAATGAGACGTCGCTCAAAGACCTCCAATTCGGACTGGACGGGATTTCAAGTCCTTGTTCCAATTGCGCGGACTTGAAATCCCGTMCAGTCCTCATTGTCGGACTTTGAACATTACATTGTTCGCTCATTGGTGGTATCACTGGAAAAAAATCGCGCGCTTTAATTAAAGGTTGAACAGTTGCCTGCGCCTATCTTGAAATGCTGCCTTAAGCTTGTATTGAAAGGATATATGGAAAAAAATTGCACGCTTTAAAGGTTGTAAATTTGATGTAAATATGATGTAAGTGTCCAAAATTCTGTAAATTTAATGGAAATCATTTACATCAAATTTACAGAATTTTGGACACTTACATCATATTTACATCAAATTTACAACCTTTAAGGTGTTTCGATCGTAATAAATAGGGCTTCGCGCGTATTTTTAAACACCAACTACGTCGCAAATATCGATTACATTGCACTCAAATTTTCACAGAAGTAAAAGTGATTATCGATAATTCTTGTAGATAAATTAATTTGCCAAAAAGTGAAGCCATTTGGATAAACGATGCAAAATAAAAACACCTTCATTTTTCTTCAATGTTGATTTTCTCGAAACTCATCGAAGAGATTGTAATAAAATTTTCAGAATCATTTTTTAATAACATAATTGATATACTGACGAAGTTGCAATCAAATCTTAACCTAAAATTTCGAGTTGTTTAAGCAAAATGATGTACATTCGAACAAATCGAAATTTTAGGTTAGGATTTTATTGAAACTTCGTCAGTATATCAATTATGTTATTA